ATTTTGTATTTTTGCATTATATTTTCGCCTTATTATTTTGATCCTTTCATGTCATATTTTATGCCCTGCTTATTGTACCTTATCTTCGTTTGTTAAAATTAAACCTTTTTAATTTATTACCGAACCTATTTGTTTATTTTTTTTAAATTGTTAAATTATAGGTGTATCCATCCCAGAAATTACTGTACGCTTGGACACGTGATTTAGTTTACAGAGTTGAACAATTTCAAATATGGGCATCTACCGCCCATTCTCCAAAAATCTTTTGGTTTTCAGGCTTCATACACCCAATTGCTTTTTTAAACGCTGTGCTACAAACATTTTCAAGGAATAATGGGGTTAATAACACCTTCATTTTTAATTCTTCTCGTCACAATATTACAAAATTGTCAATATTACATTTTTTAACTTTCAGATATCTATGGATCTTTTATCATGGGATTTCAGTGTAATGACCGTAGATGATAGCAATATTGTTTCAGCTCCTAAGGTGAAAATTTAAAAAACAATAAATTTTTCATAATTATTAATTTGTATTAAAAAAATGATTGAAAAATTAATTTTTTTAGAAATCAGTAAGAAATTAAAATAAAAAAATTATTAAAAAGTAGAAAACATTGTTAGTTTCCAATTTAAAACTTTACTTCAGCTTGTTATTTGCTAAGAGACAAATAAAAGTTTTAACAATTAAATAGAATATTTAACATTACTAACCGACATAACATTGAAATTTGTTTGATTTCTTTGATTGAAAGGACGGTGTCCTGGTGAAAGGTTTGTATCTGCAAGGTGCTGGCTGGGACATAAAAAACTCTTCTTTAATTGAGGCTGATCCAATGCAATTAGTTTGCTCACTTCCAACCATACATTTCAAACCAGTTGAATTGAAACGAAGAACTCAAAAAGGTATTTTTTAAATAAGTTTTTTAAAATTCACACCAAGTAAACTTTCATTTAAAAAATTATTTCTGCTTTGTAAAAATTGTTAAGTCGCGCTTTATGCTGTCATACTAAATTTTGGAAGAAAATATATCATTTCATGTTTCTACCTTAATGAGAAGGCTGATTTTGAAAAAAAAAATTTCGGCGTTCGTAAAGTAAGCTACTCTAAACGCAAATTGCCTGTTAAAAAATTTAATCGCGGCCGTCATTTGCGCGTTAAGTCCAACTACCACCTTTCTATTTTTTAATAACATTGAAATAACTACAAAATAATTATAAATAGTTTGGACGGACACATTGTATAGAAAAAATATTACTGATTCTCCATTGCCTGTGTTGCAAATCAACTCATGCATGCCGTCGAATTTTTTAAACTTTTCGTAACCTCGGTTAAAAATGCCTTCTAGCGAATAAATGTTACAATTTAAATTGATTAAATGATTAACAGTTGACTGGTACTTTCTGTCCAAATCATATTTCTACAGATAGCGAACATTTGTGAAAAAAAGAAACTATTTGAAAAGTATTTTGAAAAAACTTTAAAATTTTTTTTTTAAGTCATGTTTATTGAAGTAGAAATTTCCTTTTATATTACCCCGCTGTTATCTAGGGACCCGGAGTTGCTTATTAGTACATTGGGCATCAAAATGGAGCACAACTTGATTGTCGATTTTGGTTGAAAGAATTTTTCCTTGAAATGCTAAAGTGGTCATAATGTGGAATTAAAATTGATATTGAAAAGAAGTGAAAAATTGATGCTTTGATATTTTATGTCATGAATTTGAGGTAAAGTGTAGGTAATAATGATAAGGAGTTGACTCATTGCACTTGATTTGATGGCACCGTAGTTGAATTAAAAAAATTTTGGGTTAGCTTTTGGTGTTTTTTAATTGTGTGAAATCAAGGTAGTGACGCCACAATTTTGTAATATTTGACCAATACTATTGTTATCAGAATTTTTGATTGTGTTTTTGGTTTTAACGTCTGTTAGAACACCCCCTGAAAATTGTCGAGAAAATCATTGAGAGAAGATTAACGTCGTGGATCACAATTGGAAATTATCAATTTTGTTTTCTAGCGGGTAAATCAACAATTCATGCAATTCACATCCTTTGAAAACTGCAAGTGTCCAATTTTGTTTGTCCTGCTTGCATCAATCCTTAACAACAAATTCAAAATAGCAATTAAGGTAGAATTTCGAAGCAATTTTGAAGCCATTAAGGTAGAAAAAGTGACATGGTGGCAATATCTAGGGGATGTTCTGGATTGTACTGTAACAGCTGAAGCTGCCGTTCGAGCACGCATGCGTGCAGCCTGGAATGAAACGTCCGATGTTGTTATATGGTGCAGAAACATGGCCAATGACAACCAAACTGGAACAACAACTTCAACGAACCGACATAAAAATGCTCCGATGGATGCAACGAATTAGTCTGAAGGACCACATCAAATCTACCGAAATCCTGCGTCGTGCTGGTTTAGATGATATAAAGGATGAATACCGGCAACACCGTCTGCGGTGGTTTAGTCATGTCAAACGACGTGGGAACAGTGCCATAACTTTTCTTGCAGATGTTGAAATACCCCGGAACACGTCCCAAAGGCCATCCAAAAAAGTCCTGATCCCAAACAATCGAGCAGGACATGAAAGCTCTAAATTTAAATGAAATGGATACAACTGATCGTCTAATTTGGGGCAAAAAATTGATGGCCAAAAAAACAACGTCTTACCTGGGGGAACTAGGTCTCTGGACGCTAAACGAAGATTGATTGAAACATGGCCAATGACAACCAAACTGGAACAACAACTTCAACGAACCGACATAAAATCTTATTTGTGTTGTGGGTTTTAATTATACGTTTAATACTATATGAGTATAATGTTGTTGTTTTAAGCACATGTTGGTGGCGCGCAGTCACCACAATTTTTTAAAAATTGACAAAATTCTCGAAATGATTAGTTTTCCAAACCACTTTTTTATTGACAGATTGACAACGATATTTTTAGTCACAATTGTAGATTTTTATCTGCAAAATTCCCCTACGTTATATAAATATATAATATGAAAATTATAAATTTTTTAGCATTTAAAAAAGTTGGTTATTTTAGTTTATAAGTTAAATGCTTGCAGTGACTTATTATCATATTCTAGTTTGATGACCGTTCGATAGTTTCAATTTATTTTTATTTTTCGTTCATTTGAAATTGTTTGTCAACTGTCAAACCAATAATTTAATTATAGAATGACTTTGAAAATGATTGGCTCCAACATTTTATTCAAACATTAAAACAAAAATCTGGCTCATCATAAACTATCCTTTCAAATAATGAATTAAATTTACTCTCATGCAGTTTTTTTCTTTGCAGGTATTTATAGCACGCCTTGTTATTATTGTCCTAATCGAGAAGGTTTAAAAGATCGTATTTCCTTCGTTGTAGCAATTGATTTGAAAAGTGGTGAAAAAAGTCCGGAGCACTGGGCGAAAAGAGGTACAGCGGTTTTAATGAGTCTGGATTCATGAACAATTTTAAAAACACGTAACAGTAACAGTAAACACGTTTATTCACATAAAGATGTTATTTCTTGTAATAAATCAGTTACACTATGATAAGCTGTTTGTTTTTTTCAATTCAGTTTTTTATAGTAATTTTTATAATGCTGGTAGTTTAAATGGTGTTGAATATTTGGTGCATTCTTCGGATAATAAAATATGTAAATGTCAATAAACTGATCTGTCTAAATTTGTAGGTACAATATTAAAACTTCTTGTAGTGAACTGTTTTGAAACTTTTAACAAAAAAAGAGTAGAACGTGAAAGGAAATAATTGCAATGAAGTAACTGTAATTGTTGAGGCAGAGTATCAAGGGTAGCCCGGAAATTAGATAGTTAAAATGGTTGAGGGCATATTGGAAAGAAATGTAACTTGGAATGGAAGTATATGGAGTTTGGAGATCGAAGACTGAATATCAATTGCTGTCACACATCTCACTGAAAGACATCCCATTTAGAAACAACACATAAAGACTTGGATCTCTTTCATTAATCAGAGCTTTTCGATGCATAACGTCTTTTTCAACGGGAAATTTTTTCTTTTAAACAGCAATATTTGACTCAATGTGGCAAGTCTAGCTCTCCTGAAAGGCGATCAAATATGTTAGATTTTCAAGTTTCTCAACTTATTTTATTCAAATCATTTGACTTTACAAGTCATGATTTTTCGAAATAAAGCCGATGGTGTTTAATTTTGAAGTTGCAGTTTTTTTTCATAACTTATAACATGCATTTATTAATTTATTGAGATATTAAATTTTTTGTATTTATAAAATTTAATGTACGCGTCAAGAATGACCTTTTCTAGTTTGAAGGCGTGAAAAAAATTTGAGGGCAGCTGTTGTCTACCGTACTAGGATTCACCGAAGTTGCAACAATCTTTGACCTGAAAGTTTGTTTCGCGTGAATGTACGATTACCATTGACACTGGACCAAAAAGTCAATTTTGAAACCTAATTTGGTACCTAATCTGAAAAACCACGGCTTCAAAAAATACATTTTTTGAACAGTCATTAAAACGACTGTACTGTTGAACTTGAACTTGGCGATTATGTATTTAAAAGCTCATTCCGGTTTGAAAATATTACCGAGTTCGTGATGGTTTCCACACTGGATTTGAAAAACGGATACTGGAAAGTAGAGATCGATAAAAACGATTGGGAAAAAATCATTTTGATTGGATTGTGTTTGTGGCAATTAACCGTAATTCCATTCCAATTTCAAACGGTTAATTATTAATTAATTAATTAATTATTAACTATTAACCGGTTAATTAACCGTTAATAGAATGTGTATTACGGGATCTTTCCTGAAAGTTATATTTTGTTTGTTTTGTTTAGGAAAAACTTTTAATCAACGCGTGGAAATCTTACGAGAGATATTCAAAAGGCATCGAGCTCAAACCTATTGTTATAGTACTCGCTGTCGTAACCGATTTGCGATGCGACGGGTTCAAATCTTTGATTGAATAAAATACTCCAAACAGTTATTAGTTATTAAACTTTATTTACAGAAGAAAACTAATCGTTTATTTCCAGCAAATTCAAACTAAAGCAACAATTAACTTTTAAATTGTTCAAAATCTATCGCTATGACAACGTCAACACACAAATCAAATATCGCTTTAAATAATTCACCGAATGTTCTAGTGACTAAATCACAAAACTATTCACAAAATCACAAAACCACGAATTTCACTAATCACGAATATCACTAATCGCTAATCTTCTTGCGACGTGCGCTTATATACTCTTCGCAAGCGTCGTTTCTAGATTCTTCTAGATGGTCCGATTCTAGCATACTCTAGAATGCTCCAGTCACTAGAACATTTTAGAATACGCTAGAATCTAGTGCGTGCGTTACCCCCTTCTTAGTTCTGTTCGTCCCGGTGTCCGCATGGTACGGAGCCAGTCTATCCAAATGAACGATCTTCATTTTTGCTCTCGGCTTCCGATATTCCTGAATACGGTAGACGACGTCATTCAAGCGGGTGATGACTTGATAAGGTCCTTTCCACCCTCGCTGGAGCTTTGGAGAACGTCCTTTCTTTCGCTGTGCGTTGTACAGCCAAACTAACTTTCAAGTCGTTTCTGGTTTTGGCCGCCTCCGTGTTTTTCATAATTTTAAGGCGTACGTAACCGTGGATATGGTTTAATCGCTGTCGAAGATTATCCACGTGTTCTGTAAAATCAGCAATCAACGCCTCGGCTTTTCGACGGTCTTCTTGATACAAATTGAGTTCATCCAGTAGATTTTTGGTAAGTTCTTTGAGTCTACCTTTGTCAGTTGGTAGAACCTTTTCCTGTTGCTCCATATCTAATGATTTCACCAAATTTATTGATTGTCAATTACCTATTTCCTCGCCTTTTTTAATTTTAATAGTGTGTTTAGCGTTATTCATTATTCTGACAGGAATAAGACCATTTTTATTCGCTTCTACCAGGCATTTTCCAATGACCGCGTTCTGTACATTTGTCGTTGAGGTTGGCTCCATCAAATAGAACTGGTGGCCCCTTGGATCGCAATTCAACTTGCCCCATACGATGTTTTCAGATGATTGAGGTAGTTCTATGTCAATCGACTGTCACTCGAATGCATTTTTCATTGCTATCCCCCATTATCACTTCTGTATTTCTCCATCTAAGAATGCGTTTTTCTAAGTCAATTTTGAACCCATATTTTGTCAGAAAGTCGACACCTATCATGCATTCGTCGATGATATCCGCGACTAAGAATGAACCTTCGAATAACAAGTCGCCTAGCTGAACAGTACGGAGAATCTTTCCATAGACTGGTGCTGTTCCCCCGGTAGCTGTTCGAAGGATATATTTGTTAGAAGTCTCTTTCTTCAGATTGGGTACCAAATCAGATCTTAAAATCGATTTTGTTGCTCCGGTGTCGACTGTAATTACACATTCTCGTTGATCAACTTTTCCGTTCAGCCATAGGTCGTTTCGATTTCGATGTAGTCTAGAAACGTTAATTACGGTACTGGGGGCGTCAATTCTACTAGCCAACCTCTGCCCCACAAAGTTGGCTCTTATTAGCTTTTCCGCCCCTTCGTTAGAAGGGGCCGATCGTGCTACAGGATCATCTTCTCTTCTTTTGCGCCATCTTGTCGCGCAATTTCGGCAGTAGTTATCTTTTAGGCGGTGTTTACAATCACGACGTAGATGGCCTTTTTCACCACAAATCCAGCATTGGGGTACACCATGCTGT